ACAGGATGGTGTTTTAGGGTGGTACGAGTTTGCCATGGATTATCTGGATTGGAGGATGATGATGCTACCCAGGGTAATCCCATACAAAAACTTTGGCTTCCTATTGTCAGAACACTATCATCAATCCTATTACGATGCCTGTGATGAAAATGGTGATGGGGTTCTTAACTGGGAGGAGTTCAAGAACTGCCTGAGCCCAGAGAGGATCAAGGGCAACAGCGGCAGAAAATTGCAGATGTGGTTGTACAACGTGCAAGATGCAAACAAGGACGGGAGGATTGACTTCAGCGAGTTTAGCCAAGCTTTTGTTTACTACCACAATAACAACTTCTGTACGCATCGAGAGCCTAACGACGAGACTGAAATCTTCACGAGGTTCATCTCAGTCGATAGAGATCGCGATGGTTTCTTGACTCCAGCTGATGGGTTTGCAGAGATTTTAGCAGCGTACGACGCTCCCCGCGATCCAAGCTTGTACGAGGCATGTCTCAAAGCAAAAGAGATTGTTCCATTCCCATTTGCAAGCTTGAAGGTGGAAGAGATTCTGGCCACAGACTGGATTGCAAAGCTGATTCTGTTAGCAAAAGCAGATCGATCTCGGTTTGATGCCCTGTTTATGTGTGGCTAATAACCACATGAAACTTCAGAACTTCCTAGAAACCTTTTTGAACGCTCTTAAAATCATGTATAAAATACATCTATATACATACGATTGCACGATGTGATTGGACTTCTCCAAATTTGTTGGTAAGGAATAGAACTGATCTCCAACTAGGCACAGTGTAACAGTCCGGTTGGCTGATCCGAATCAAGCTCCTGACTAATGCCTGCTATATGAAAATCAACTACTGAAATAAAGAACCCATGTCCAAGTGCATTCCACAAATAAATCAAAGGTCTCGACTTCTTCCATTGTGTGACCACCTTAGGATGTAAATTCGCTTGCATCTGGAATCTCTAGTTCTATTGTTTTAAACGAGTGCTGTTTACAAATCTGTTACCCAAGAGGTGATATTTATGTTCGATGGTTATATGCTGTTGGATCTTTTAGAAACAAATATTGTAGAAAGAGAAGGTCCTAATTAACTGAGCTTGATGCTTGGCTTGATAAGCAGTATGACATTCGTGACGAATCAATCTGGCAACGCAAAGACAGAAACAAAGATGGTGTTTATCTGGATTGGAAGATGATGAGGCAATCCCTTTTAAAAGCTTTAGCTTTCAGATTGTCCCATTTATTACGATGATTGGGCGGATTTCAAGAACTGCCTGAGCCCAGAGAGGACATGCAGACAAGGACTGGAGGATTGACTTCAGCGCATGAGGCTCCCAGTGATCCAAGCTTGTATACTCAAGGCATGTCTCAAAGCATTTAGGAGATTGTTCCATTCCCATTGAAGGTAAAAGAGATTCTGGCTACAGACTGGATTGCGAAGTTGATTCTGTTAGCGTTCGCAGTTCGCCAGCCTAATATCTTGTTGATAAACTGAATTTCCATTTTTTCTGCGCAGTTTTGGCTTTCGTTGAATCCAATCAAGAGTTTTGTTTTAGTTTGCAGGCATAGATCAGAAGGAAAGGAAAAACAAACTAAACATATTGTTCCCAGTCTTTCTCAATTAAAAACTCGCAGCGCTTGACCACGTAGGAACTGTAAAATGCCTAGAAAGAAACTTTCATCTCTAACAGCGTGTTGATCGAATGTCTTTCTGTGTGTTCGCTCGAGCAAAAGCCTCTTTGACATTCTCCGTCAGCCGGCCTTCGTGGGCACGTCCCAGCCTCCACCAAAGCTCCTTCTTCTTTTCAGTCTGACGACGCTGACGCTCTTCGTGCATCTTCACCGTCTCCGAGTTCCTCGCTCTTTGGCTGCCTGAAAATTCCATTGGAATTCAAAAAGTAGAAGGTATCACACCTGCATTCTTTTCCTCGCGAGTTCGTCCTTATAGAGACTTGAGCTTCGTTTATGCTTGCTGTTGGACAAGCAACCTTCTTTTGTTCTTCATATATCACCCTTGTCTATCCTCGCTTCCAAAAACTTCAGCTTAATGCTTGAAAATCGGCTCGCCTTTGGCGACTGGCTTCTCATTCCTATAAAAAAAGAGGAAGGGCTGCGAACCTGGATGTGAACCTGAGCTGGGTTCCATGCGAGATTGGTCCTGCGCCTTCGCCGCTGCTGTGGTGCTCCCGCCCTAGTCTGCAGTATGCAATCGTCTAGGGAAAAGAAAGAAAGAACACGCTCTTCCTCGCCACGCCTAGCCTAGCAACGTGATTTCCAGCCACGCTGCTTCTATCCTCTTCGAGCTAGCGCGCCATGCCTTGACTGGCTCTTCCAACCCAGCATGACCTCGGGCAAGCCGAGCACGCCCCCAAAAGATCAGGCAAAGCCAGAATTAATCAAGATTAACTTCAACGAATTTCCATAATTGGTCAGCTCTTTTTTGACCAACTTCCACTGTAATCGAATTTGGTTTCTTGATGGACAGACTCAGATAAACGTTTGTGGTTGCCCGTATGAAGTAGTAGCCTCCCGTACCGAGTTCCATAATAAGTCTGAATCATCAAAATATTGTGTTATAATCACCTGGAATAAAAACATTTTAAAAAATAAAGCTTAAAAAATGATGATAAATACCTCTCCGGGTGACATGTCATGGTGAAGATAAGTTTGAGTCTCGAAATTCTTGAGAGAATATGCAAATAGCCCACTTGAATCTCGTAACCGGCCCATGGCATATGAAAGCTCCCAAACCTTATAAAAAGGAAATTAAAGATAAATTATAGAGAAATATTTTACCTGGTAGTTGTATTATGATTAAGCAACAGTTCCAGTGCCATGATTAACAGAAATAACTTTAGAAGGATTGGTTAATGAAACAATGTGAACCAATCTTACACCGTCCACAACAACTCAATCCAGTGATTCTACTGATTTTGTAAGTAAGAAGATAAAGAGGAGGTAACACAGCATGCTAGAGAGAGAGAGAGAGAGAGAGAGAGATGGTTAGAACAAATTCTTGGAGAAAGAAAGAGAGAGTAAGAGTACCTGTTGTGGTGTTGAATTCAGAGAAAAGTTGATGCTGCGTCTCCTCTTTCCCTTGAGCTAAACGGAAGAACCTATAGCCTAGTGTTTTAGAAATGCTTATATTTATACTCCAACATAGACCTTAGTTGGTAGCCAACAAATGTTTGGTTGTGGCATGTTTAGTTAGTGATGTTTAGTTGGTTTGTTTTGTTCATTCTCACGCTAGAGACTCTCCAACCCAGCACAAATTGAAAGAATCTGCACGCTCGCCACCATCACTGAAAGAATTCGTAAACCGATTTCAATGGCGAGGGGTTCGATACTTGACAGGGTTAGGGTTTTAGGATTCAACGTGAGCTCGGCATGATCATACAAAATCTTCAGTAACTTTGATGTTCCGAAATTTCCGAGGAGAATAGGTATCTTTTCTTTGTAATTATTTTTATCCCAATCTTGGAAACTTCACTGAAGAGGGAGAAGAGGTAACTTCCGTAACGAGATATACGCCCTATATACGTTGTGGAAACTTCACCGAGGAGGGAGATCCAAGCTCTTTTCTTTCTAATTATTTTAGTGCCATCAGGTAACGAGATCTATGTTGTGAATACTTTGATCTTGTTTTGGATGAATGGTGGAACAGATCCAAGTATGTCGGTGTCTCCGCACGGTCTGGACCTTTCACGCGTCCTTGGTGAATGGCCAAACGGGCACTTAAGCTGCATGGAGCTGAATAGCTGTGGCGAGTTTGTGGTGTGTGGAGGAGTGCGCAAGCTACTGCGTGTCAACGAAAAGGTGGTCAGACGCCAGAACTATAGTGTGGTAAGAAAAGCTTAACACGTTCTTGTGTTGACACAGGCTTTGAACGGTTTGGCCGTCGGTGAGCGACATGAGCTAAGTCCCAATGGTCGCAACTCATCAGGCATTTCGTTGTAGCTAATTCTTGCAGGAAGAGGTAATTCCATGCTAACTTCACATTTTATTCTTCTGAATGTATTGTTGTTTCTTGTAAGGCCTATTCAGTGGAGCTTACACAAAGAAGATGATTGAAACGATGGCGGGTATCAAAAGTCAATGTACATCTCTTTTTTATTTTTCTAGGCCAAAGAGGCAAGGATGGCTCTATTAATCTTTTCAAGGCCTGAGAAAGGAGAGTGAGATTCAGAGGATTGTGCTTCAAAGGTCACTCTGGTGGACGCTCTTTGCAAGTCGGACCAGCCTCATGAAGCATATGGGCTGGTGTCAGAGATGGTGAAGAAGGGGTGCTCTCCGCTTTCGCAAGGTGGAGGTCTTGATGCTACTCAAGAACATGTCTCAACGATAATCTTGGATATCTTTCATCAACGATAATCTTGGATATCTCTGAAAGAAACAATCGCGCACAGGCTGCTCAATGCGCTGGCCAAGGGGGACAAAACAACCAACACTTTTGAGTCTCTCGGAGCAGATGATCCATGAGGGCGGGGTTCCATGCGTCCCCCTGGGGAAACTGGTTCCATGCACGAATTGAGGGGAAGGAACCCGGTGTCCCCCCACAAAATTCTCCCGGGTATAGAACAATCTCTTATGCTTTGAGACATGCCTCGTACAAGCTTGGGGAGACTCGTACAAAATCTCTGCAAGCCCATCAGCTGGAGTCAAGAAACCATCACGATCTCTGTCGACTGAGTTGAAGCTTTTGTTTACTACCACTATAACAACTTCTGTACGCATCTAGAGCTTCGATGAGACTGAAATCTTCACGAAGCTTGGCTAAATTTGCTGGCGATCCTCCCATCCTTGTTTGCATCTTGCACGTTGTACAACCACATTTGTAATTTGCTGCCCTTATCCTCAGTCCACCCAGTTAAGAACCCCGTTCACCATTTTCATCACACGCATAGTATTAGGATCGATGATAATGTTTTGGCAATTGGAAAAACTGGGTATTGCCCTGGGTAGCATTATCATTTTCCAATTCAAATAATCCATGTCCATCTTTGTTTCTGTCTTTGCGTTGCCAGGTGATACAAAGTCAGGTACTCAATAAATGTGAGATGCCATATTGATGGAATCTCATGAGGGATATTTTATGTAGACCAATGGTTAAATGCCACGTCGCATGTGAGTTGGCTTTATTTATTTAAAACTTATTATAATTTACATGTGAGCTTGAAAAAATTACTGTTTTTTCATTCATATACCAGACCGAGGTCACATAAACTGCTTGTTAATGATTGCGCAAGCGTCTTGTTTCTTCCTCCCGATCTCTTCATCACAGGCATCGTAGGAATTCGTTGCGAGAACTGACACGCGGCGTCATTTGCTTGGCCTTGTCCGACGTGTATTATCTGCCTTTTTTACAGGTATGTTTTAGGGCTACTGGCTGGGAATCCAATGGTACGCAGCTCGAATTCGTCACAGCCTGGATGAGGCGCTTGATTCCGGGTAGCTTGAGAGGTATGTGGAGCCTCTTGGCTTGAGTGAGTTTTTCTTCGGCGAAACTTTCTTTGGGACGTTTGTAGAGCACTAGAACAGGAAATGCAAGGGGAGTGTTGGGTTGATTTTATGGCTGTGAGCGTGACCGTGGTTTTTTGGAATTCGTTCTTCCAACAAGTTCCCATCTAGAAGTTCATGTACGACCAGTCCAGTAACAGGGATTCCTGCGTCTCTATTTGGTGGGTCACTGGAAGGCAAAGATGCTTTTTCTCTTGGAAGGAAGAAGAAGAGCTTGAGGCTTCCAAGGCAAACTTGCTCATCCATCTCGCAGGCAAGGTGGTGGTAGAGAGAAGCTACAGTGTGAAAACGTTTCACCATAAATATGTGTGCATAGTGACTTTACTTCTGTGACTGGTTCTAACACATGTCCTTACACTTTGATCTCACTGTAATTAACGAAATATTCAGCAAATTTGCAAAAGAAAAGTTTAATACCTTCAATGCATCTGCTCCTGATCCAGCACCATTTTGTTAGTGCACATGCCATTAGGCTTTCAAAATAATTTGGTTACAGAAAGAAATATAAAGAAGACATCTGTGAGTGAAGGAAAGTAACTCGGCCTCATCTCCAAGCAGACACATGACTGAGACACAAGGAGAGTTCCCTAGTGACTATGACTGGGACACAAGGAAGACTGAGAAATCAGAATCTCCATAGCTTCTCTCCACCACCTCGTAGATAACAAATCTGCAAATCTGCACCAACTCTTTCACTGCATCAAGAACAGGGAAATCTTCTGCTCATGCACCGCAAGCAAGCAGAGCAGCGGAGTACATGGTGTAACAGCTGTCACCACGCCCTCTTCCCTCCCCAACCACACATGCATGCCACCCATTGGCCGCCACAACATTGAGCTGATATTCCCACAAACCATGGCTATTAGCCCTGGCCCTAGCCTCGAGAACCATGGCTTCTGTTGCTGCCGCGGGCCCGGGATTGGACGGCCGCAGGGTCTGGGCCCTTCATTCTTATATATATAGATAGATGGTCTACAAACAAACTGTTGATTGAATTCAATGACAGCCAAAATTAGGAAATGGAAATTCAAGGTTTATGAACAAGATATTAGCCACACATAAACAGGGCATCAAACCGAGATCGATCTGCTTTTGCTAGCAGAATCAGCTTTGCAATCCAGTCTGTAGCCAGAATCTCTTCCACCTTCAAGCTTGCCAATGGGAATGGAACAATCTCTTTTGCTTTGAGACATGCCTCGTACAAGCTTGGATCGCGGGGAGCCTCGTATGCTGCTAAAATCTCTGCAAGCCCATCAGCTGGAGTCAAGAAACCATCATGATCTCTGTCGATTGAGTTGAACCTCATGAAGATTTCAGTCTCATTGTTAGGCTCTCGATGTGTACAAAAGTTGTTATGGTGGTAGTAAACAAAAGCTTGGCTAAACTCGCTGAAGTCGATCCTCCCATCTTTGTTTGCATCTTGCACGTTGTACAACCACATTTGCAATTTGCTGCCACTTTTGTCCTTGATCCTCTCTGGGCTCAGGCAGTTCTTGAACTCCACCCAATTAAGAACCCCATCACCATTTTCATCACAAGCGTCATAATAAGATCGATGATAGTGTTCTGGTAATGGGAAAAGCTGAAATTCAAAGTTTTTGTATGGGATTGCCCTGGGTAGCATCATCATCTTCCAATCCAAATAATCCATGGCATACTCGTACCAACCTAAAACACCATCCTTATTTCTGTCTTTACGTTGCCAGATGAATTGGTCGCGGATGTCATGCTGCTTATCAAACCATGCATCAGCCTCTTCCCTAGTAATATTGCCATCTCTATTTACGTCCATCTCATCAAGGTATTTTTG